AAGTTGAGCTGAGATACAGAGAGAGATTCACTCTGGATATAATTAGGCTACACAGGGTGTATAGATTTTTTTCAGGGGAGAGCTACACAAGCCGTATAGCGTGATAGTGATGTACCATGTAGTGATACACTTTTGTGTCACATGGCATGTGACACATGGAATGTGTCACATGGCATGTGACACATGGAATGTGTCAGAGAGAGAGAGAGAGAGAGAGAGAGAGAGAGAGAGAGAGAATGAGACATATTATACAGCATAACCCAACGACAATAAAGAGGTTGTAGGTATCGGAGAAATTATTAATCTCACTCTACACTTATATGTTGACATTGGATTACGAGTCATAACTCATGTCACCGCTAATGTTTGGTTTATTTGCGAGGGGATTAGTTCTCTCAGAAGGTGTCCATTCACAGAGACACGGTGTGTGTGTGTGTGTGTGTGTGTGTGTGTGTTTGGGTGTTGGGGGTTGTGTGTGTGTGTGTGTGGTGTGTGTGTGTGCATGTGGAGGTCACAGTGACGCTGACGAGCCTGTGACCAGCAGTGCAAGTAAAGGATGGATTAATGTGTGAGAAGGTCAGAGCCGGGGCCAGAACTCAGCCATGTGGCACACACACACACACACACACATACACACACACACACACACACACACACACACACACACACACACACACACACACACACACACACACACACACACACACACACACACACACACACGTCGCCCTGTTGTCTTGATTTACCACTCCGTAAAAAATCTAACCTTTCGGCCTAACCAGGTACATGAAGTAACCCAGGCGGTCCACCTAACCTACCAAATCCAAGGCATAGAAAACGTGATACCTGTGTGCTATTAATCTTCTTAACAAGCTGCATTTATAACCTAGGTTACCCTAACATACAAAAATAAACTTTGCTGTAGTGTATGTTATATATATATATATATATATTATATATATTTATATATATATATATATATATATATATATATATATATATATATATATATATATATATATATATATATGTATATATATATATATATAAGATATAGATAATATATATATATATATATATTATATATAGATATATTATATATGTATATATTTATTATATATTTATATATCACCAAGAATATATCACTAATAACTTATATTTGACCCTTCCAGGATTCGAACCAATGACGTCCAGGATCACCCCTAAACGTACACAGTACCGTGACCACCGCACCATTGATCGTCTTGGACAAACGATAGGTAAGATAAGATAATTTTATTTAGGGAGAAGTATATACAATCAAAATGAGTTACAGGCATAATGTTGGATTTCTAGATACAGCAAGTGTACACTGTGCCTAAAGTCACTAGTAAGTACAAAGCTTTGGGTAAATCCTATGGAATCCTCTGCCCGCCGAAGCCGTAAATGCCAGGAGATTCCTTCAGTTCAAAATCTAGTTCGAAAAACTCTCAAGAAAGTTGTGGGGGACCTTTGATTCGTATCCCTGTCGAGGTCACAGAGGGACCCTGCATGGGAAGATAGCACAGTTACTGCTTTCAATTTCATTTTCTCTTCGGGGTTTGTTGCAGAAAACGGTAGATTTTTTTTAGAGGGGTGGCTTTAGTTTTTTTCCGCCACCCCTCTCCCTCCCCCAATCCCCATCTGCAAATCATTTATAATAATAAAAATATATTTAATTACAAACAACTTAATCGGTATTAACATTATCAATGATATAGGCGTTCTCGACTCACAACTGAGGATCCTAAGTTCGATCTCCGGGCGGGACAGAAATACTGTAGTTGGGTCCGTTTTCTTTCAACTAATGCATCTGTTCACCTAGGTGTAAATAGGTACCCCAGGAGTTAGGCAGCTGTTGCGAGGTTGCCTCCTGGAGCAGATCAGTACTTCGACCCTAATTATAAAATCATTTCAATGATATCCCAATTTAGGAAGCCGTTAGATTCCATTAACGTACCAATATACTGAGAGTATGCGCCAAGAGTATGCTTTTCAGTATATATACTGCATCTGAGCTATAACCACAAGCCTGGTTATGGCTGTGAGGTCTGTCGTGGACAAAGTCTATACAGAGGTTTATTAACAACTTTTCAACAAGGCATAAGAGGACTGGTCTTACTCAAAAATAAAACACAAAAGTCGATTACCAGGCAACCTTACCCTTGAAACCTCCAGTGAAACTTACAAGGGCAGCAGTTTCAAGTTTATTAAGCCCCAGAGTAGACAGTTACCTCACAAGGGCAGCAGTTTCAAGTTTATTAAGCCCCAGAGTAGACAGTTACCTCACAAGGGAAGCAGTTTCAAGTTTATTAAGCCCCAGAGTAGACAGTTACCTCACAAGGGCAGCAGTTTCAAGCTTATTAAGCCCCAGAGTAGACAGTTACCTCACAAGGGCAGCAGTTTCAAGTTTATTAAGCCCCAGAGTAGACAGTTACCTCACAAGGGCAGCAGTTTCAAGCTTATTAAGCCCCAGAGTAGACAGTTACCTCACAAGGGCAGCAGTTTCAAGCTTATTAAGCCCCAGAGTAGACAGTTACCTCACAAGGGCAGCATTTCAAGCTTATCAAGCCCCAGAGTAGACAGATACATGAAGATGTCTGTCTCCCATAGGCCAATATAAACTCATGGAATCTCTTGACTGTTCGAACTTTGAATACCAAGACATTGTTACTATATAAATGCCTCAGAAAGAACCGGAAGAGCTTCCGGAAGCCACCGTGTTCACTAGACATAATAACTAAATTCCTTTTATTGGGGGGACATGAAGCCTGGATTTACGCTATCGGAGTCTCCATACGCCAGCTAGCAATGACCTCCCCCGAGGATGCAACCCATCAACAATTCCCAAATGCCAATGTCCTGCAAGTTGAGTAGAAGCATCGAGTGAAAGGAACGTCCCAAACCGTGTCTCTCCTGGCCGGCGATTGAACCCACATCTGACTTACTTCTCCTGAGGCAAAGGGTTATGGCGATGACGATAGAGACGAGGGCGATGCAGGAGATGACGACGGGGACGATGAAGGCAGGGTCGGTGAACACCTCTTGGGCCGAGGCCCCCACGCCTCCTGGCGAGGTCCCCAGCACCCCTCCGCCGCCCAAAGAGCCCAGTCCCTCCTGCAGTTGGTCTGGTGCCCGGGTAATAAAAATAAATACATAAGTAAAAATTCGCAATAGCAATGTCAAAGAAAATTGGGCATTTTAGAGTGTTTATATATTAACAATCTAGCGATTGTTGCATTATATTAATGGTAATCATGCGCCTGTGGGTTAACTCTGTCACGATTTCAAATTAATTCAGAATTATAGAAAATATAATAATTTTAAAAACTTGCTTACCTTGGAAGCACTATGGCATATAGGCCAACACCCCGGGTGTACGGTGAGGGCCAACACACTAGGGGTACGGTGAGGGCCAACACACTAGGGGTACGGTGAGGGCCAACACACTAGGGGTACGGTGAGGGCCAACACACTAGGGGTACGGTGAGGGCCAACACACTAGGGGTACGGTGAGGGCCAACACACTAGGGGTACGGTGAGGGCCAACACACTAGGGGTACGGTGAGGGCCAACACACTAGGGGTATGGTGAGGGCCAACACACTAGGGGTACGGTGAGGGCCAACACACTAGGGGTACGGTGAGGGCCAACACACTAGGGGTATGGTGAGGGCCAACACACCTGGTGTACGGTAACATGTGAACGCTGTCGACCAAGCTCTCTGTATTTCTTAAGGTCTTTACTTGAGAAGGAAGTTGAAATATTAACTCTACAAAGTTCAGTTTATGGCCAGGCGCTACGAGATGCGTTTTGTTGAAATCGTCAACATTTTCAAAGGCAGAGGTGATGTGTATACAAGTTAGATGATTGACTGATGAAGATTAAGCCACCCAAGAGGTGGCACGGGCATGAATAGCCCGTAATACAAGTTAGAATGAGCAACTGAATATGTAACTAAGAAGGATGATGTGCAGCAAGATGTCGCATGAGACAGAATAGGCCTGTTGCTTGCTACTTTGGTCTTGAAGAGAGAAGAATATAAATCTGCGTGTCAGCCAATTGTTGGTCTTTACGGGCTATTCATGCCCGTGCCACCTCTTGGGTGGCTTAATCTTTATCATCAATTGTTGGTACCACGGGAGACATCTCCCGTCACGCAGGGTGCAGTCGCACCTCCACAGATCTCCAGTATCATCTCTCGATACTGGTAATGGCTCAAAAGGGCCACCACTTACGGGCTATTCATGCCCGTGCCATCTTTTGGGTGGCTTAATCTTTATCAATCAATCAATTGTTGGTAGTTGGATGAGATTGTTTGATGTGTTGCACTTGGCTAATGTCTAATCTTCTATTGTCTTTGTATCTGTCGATTACTTGGGTGTTGTTCACTAAGGATATGTACGGTGGTGATCTGGCGGCGTGAAGACATTAAATGTTCTTTGATGGTTCTTTGATTCTTTCTTTGCGGTTTGTGTATAGTCTGGCGCCTTGAAAAGAGGTATTGTCTCATGGCGATATATTTGTTGGTTGTTATATTGCAACTTATTTATTTCTTTATCTCTTTTTTTTAGTTAACCATTGCTAACATTTTGTATTCCCTTTCACTGTGCTATTTCAAGTTTTAAATATCTTATAAACCATTTTTGGAACTGTTGCGACCTCGTTATTTGTTTGAGTTCCTGTTTCCTGGGACATGAAGACTGTCATTCTCACTGGGGTCCCCAAGGGCGAGGCTCTTCCTTATCTTGCAACGTTAATGACTTATATGTGTTGTTTAATCAACTAATTAAGCCTATACTTACCTGGGTAACAGCTTCTCCTCCATATCAACCTACCCTGGCTTTGCGCCCTAGTGAGGCCACTCCAGAGCACAACACCCTAGTCTCCTGAGACTGATGGATGCCTGAACAAATCCACAAGGGCCGTGACGAGGATTCGAACCTGCGTCCGGGAGCACCCCAGACACTGCCTTAATCGACTGAGCTACGACAGGGTTAAAAGGGTTGAAAGCGAAGTTCTACTGAACTTACTGGAAGATGCCTACTACTGCCTACTACTGCCTACTACTTCCCACTACTGCCCACTACTGCCTACTACTGCCTACTACTGCCTACTACTGCCTACTACTTCCCACTACTGCCCACTACTGCCTACTACTGCCTACTACTTCCCACTACTGCCTACTACTGCCCACTACTGCCCACTACTGCCTACTACTGCCTACTACTGCCTACTACTGCCTACTACTACCTACTACTGCCTACTACTGCCTACTACTGCCTACTACTGCCTACTACTTACCTCCCGTGAGGCCGAGGGTGGTGAAGGAGTAGGTAGTGGTGGTGTCGCCCGCGGGGTTGGTAGCGGTCAGGCTGGCCTCATACGGGGTGGCTGGGGTCAGCTCCCCTACCGTGTACTCTCCCTGGGTTCCTGGCAGCCGTCCGCTCACTGAGAAATTAGAATTAGAAAGTTGATTCTTAACATGTTATACAAACCGTTATAATAATGGTTAGATTAAACAGGTGTAGTACGGTCTAAATCAAATAGTCTAAATCAAACTTATATTTTTGGGCATAAAGTGTGTATTTGACTTACAATTTGAATGGTGATATCTATGGGGAAGACAATAAAGTAGTTGCAAATAATAAATAAAGACAACAATAATAAAGACAACATCACTTAGCGTGTATGGCGTGAGGGAAGACCATACAACTTGTATAATAAAGCACAAGGACAACTTTACTTCATTAGTATGGGAGAAGACCTGAGCTTCGTCGTGGTCTAGACATATTAAAGCTGGTGTATAAGGTCACCACACGTGTATAACGGGCACCATACTCACCAGCTATACATGTATAAATACTCAAGTATCCGTCCCAGGTGACATCCGCTCCTGGCAGTACTATAAGGAGTCTCTGTACTGCCAGGGGATGCAGCGTGCCAGAGGCATCTGACACGAACAAATCCACAAGGGCCGTGACGAGGATTCGAACCTGCGTCCGAAAGCATCCCAGACGCTGCCTTAATCGACTGAGCTACGACATGGTCAAAGGGCTCTTCACGGCCCTTATGGATTTGTTCATTTGATGCATCACGCAATTGTGATTTCTGTGTCTCATCTGAGACGATATACTCGCTCCTCCTGACACGAGACCCGACGTCCTCTCATACATACTACTTTCCCTTCACCCTTTTACCTACCGCTCAGCCATTCCCGCTGGCTGGTGAGCCTCACTCTCACGATGAAGTGGGCAATAGGGCACTGGACGTCGCTCCACGCCCCCAGGTGGAAGGCTACTGCGGATACGTTGACAGCCAGGATGCGGTGCTGTGGCGGAGGGGAGGGCCTCGTGCCCTTGGTGCGAACAGTGATGACTTCGCTAGCTGCTCCTGGACCTGACGGAGGAGAAGGGGTAACTCAAGGAAATCTGGTTGTTATCAAGACGCCCTACATGGACAAGTCCACAAGGGCCGTGACGAGGATTCGAATCTACGTCCGAGAGCATCCCAGACGCTGCCTTAATCGACTGAGCTACGACATGATCAAAACAGTTGAAACCAGAAGTGACCATGTCGTAGCTCAGTCGATTAAGGCAGCGTCTGGGATGCTCTCGGACGCAGGTTCGAATCCTCGTCACGGCCCTTGTAGATTTGTTCATTTGATGCATCACGCTATTGTGATTTCTGTGTGTAACGCCCTACATGCTTGTTTAGTTTCATTTAGTGATTTGTGTAGCCTCTTTTGAGGTACCAATCAATTTGCATTTATTTTTAGTTTTAATTTTGCACTGAGAAGCATTATACAGGATAGTTAAATATTAAAGAAAATCTTAAACATCGCGGTAAATATTGAGTGCGTGAGTTACGACGTATGAGGCTCCATTTGATCGGGGTCTTCCCATACAAACGGAAAATTTCGTGGGTCTGCACCCACTAAATTTTCAGGGGCCAAGGAAAAAAATTAGTTTGAGAACTTCTGATGTAGAAGTTCTGAGTGATGTAACATGTGTTACATTATTATATTCTATATCTTTCATCCGGAAGTACTCAAAAGAATTTGTATAGTTAATTGTACCTTTGATCTAAATCATGGACTATTTTATTATTGAAAAAAATTGCAATATTATTTCGTTAATTTATACAAGGAAATATGTTTCTTATTAAGATCAAACTGTTATGATATTGAAAGCACATTATTGTAACAATTGTTCTTTATTGATTTGTGTTATTATTGCAGGTGAAGGAAAGTCACATACATATGTCAATATATTATTAAACAAAATCTTCGGATGAAACCTTCATCCTTTATGAAAGTGCTTTCAGAAAATTTTCGGATGAGACTTGCATTCGAAAATTTGGTTTAACTCAATACACTTACACACGTATTGAGTGTAATCCTCACCTTTATTCAAACATTACGAGAGTGTAGTAAGTTTTCCCATTATTATTATTATTATTATTATTGAGAAAATTTACTGGAGTAGTGAGTTGGGCTCAAACCTGCGACTAAGGCAATGCCATGCCGCATACTCTACCACTATGTGATTATTAGTATTATTAGTATTATGGACCTCATATCCATACTATTAGTAATTGCAAGAGCGTTACAGGGTTATATAACGAGTTCAGTAACTGGGGCCAAATTTTACGATGCTCAGCAATTTACATTTATAATAATAAGACTTAATAACAATAAACATATTGAATTATATTGATAATAGTAATACAATATTTGGTCCTGGGTAGTCAGTGTTATTTTAGAATAGCTTGTGCCTAAAATTATAGAAAATGCTTATTATTCCCCCTCCCCCCCCCCCCCTCCTCAAGCTTAATTTGCTTTTGGGCCTGTTGAGGTGGTTTAGTTGGGAGTAAGATGGGTTTCTCTCGACAGCTCCGACTCCGAAATTGTCATGTGGATTTCCAGCGTCTTCCTCGCTCTGTGATTTACTGCTGTATCTTCAGAATTCGGCTGCCTCTCTCCGGAAGAGTGGGTATGGGCAGCTGAGGGCAGTGTGGCACAGAGGCGATGGAAGAAGCTAGATCCATCTTACAAATAAAAGAATTGTGGGGAATAATATCTATTTTCCAGACTTTGGAGGCATAAACCATTAGAAAACAGCGCTGCCCAAGGAAAAATGTTTTCGCAGTGGGGTATATAATCATCCAACCCGTTCTCACACTTTATTACAGTCAATATTGACTTATTAAATACGTGCATATGTGACATACTAGTTTACCTTGAAAAGCTTCATAGAAAACACCGACCTTACCTAACCTTCTTAGTATGTTAAGATAAGCATCTTATTGCTTCGTAATTACAATTATTACCCAACCTATACCTATAATAGGATAAGTAATAATTGTAATTACGAAGCAATAAGATGCTTATCTTAACATACTAAGAAGTATTGTACTGTTTTCTATGAAGCTTTTCAAGGTAAACTAGTATGTTTAGTATGTCACATATGCACGTATTTAATGAGTCAATATTGACTATACGAAAGTGCGAGAACGGGTTGCATCATCCTGCAAGAGGTGGATGAACCATCGACCCCGTTGGGTTCCCCCGGGGGAAAGGTTTACCTATTCTGTTATGTGAGGTGAGGTACATGTGGTACTCTGTGCCGCAGGTGAGCTCCTGCAGGGTGTACTGCGTCAGGTGGCGGGCCAGCGTCACCTCCCGCCACTCCCCGGGGTCAGGACGCCACGTGAGAGTCAGCTTCCTGATGGGGGCGCCGCCGTCGTCGACGGGTCGCCACGACACTGTCACCGTGGTGGGTGTGGCCCCCACGGAGTGAAGCAGGGCGGCGCTGGGGGGCACTGAAGCAAAAGGTGTTAGTGGTGGGGGTCAGCTATAGCCGCCTGAGATTGCGAACGAACATTTCAATAAACACATTCATGTATACACACACACATACGCTCTCGCGTCTAGTGTTTGTTTCGTTATGTTACCCACATAACAGCCTGTTTCCCAGGCTGCTGCATGGGTAACAGCTTCTCCTCCATATCAACCTACCCTGGCTTTGCGCCCTGGTGAGGCCACTCCAGACCGACAACCAGAGCGCAACTCCATAGTCTCCTGAGACTGATGGATGCCTACTATATACTATCTGTCTCATTTCCGTCGTTCTCTCCCTCTCGACTCACCCATGACGATGAGAGTGTAGAGGAGATGGTCAGAGCCGTGGCGGTTGGTGGCGTGGCACGTGTAGTTGGCCGTGTCTGAGCGCTGGCAATCCCTCAGCAGAAGTCCTCCGTCAGGCTGAGGCTCGTATCTGCGGAGAAACACCTTCTTCAGTAGTCAGTTACCCACGGGAGGCGGGAGGCCCTCACCTCTAAGCCCACATATTATAGACATATGGGGGTGACGGGGCCCACATATTATAGACATATGGGGGTGACGGGGCCCACATATTATAGACATATGGGGGTGACGGGGCCCACATATTATAGACATATGGGGGTGACGGGGCCCACATATTATAGACATATGGGGGTGACGGGGCCCACATATTATAGACATATGGGGGTGACGGGGCCCACATATTATAGACATATGGGGGTGACGGGGCCCACATATTATAGACATATGGGGGTGACGGGGCCCACATATTATAGACATATGGGGGTGACGGGGCCCACATATTATAGACATATGGGGGTGACGGGGCCCACATATTATAGACATATGGGGGTGACGGGGCCCACATATTATAGACAAAATGGGGGTGACGGGGCCCACATATTATAGACATATGGGGGTGACGGGGCCCACATATTATAGACATATGGGGGTGACGGGGCCCACATATTATAGACATATGGGGGTGACGGGGCCCACATATTATAGACATATGGGGGTGACGGGGCCCACATATTATAGACATATGGGGGTGACGGGGCCCACATATTATAGACATATGGGGGTGACGGGGCCCACATATTATAGACATATGGGGGTGACGGGGCCCACATATTATAGACATATGGGGGGTGACGGGGCCCACATATTATAGACATATGGGGGTGACGGGGCCCACATATTATAGACATATGGGGGTGACGGCGCCCACATATTATAGACATATGGGGGTGACGGCGCCCACATTACTGGGACTCTCACACTGTACAGTCCCAGTACAGCATTTAGGACGCCCTCTTAGCTCATCTAGAAAGTGATTTTGTATGGTAATTTGTTATTAAAATACTAATATAATTGTGATAAGGAAATAAATGTGACGAGGTGTTTAATATTTACCGAGAATCTACTTATG